GATTCAGTAGCTCTCACCTGTTACAAAAGCTGTTGAGTCTCTCTGTTCAGCCACGGCTAAAATAGAACAAGGACTTTCTCGCATCTACATGTCTCATCTGCATACAAATATAAATCTTAAACCAAAACGAGAGTATAGGACAGGTATACACAACAATTCTTCTTCCCAGGTTTATAAACTGAACTTTTGTAATAGAAGAAGATTGTATCGAGAGCTTATTAAATGAATAATATATTCACTAGTTTATAGGTTTAGTACCTTGGGTTTTCAAAAGGACATCAAGCAGCATATTCTGTGACTGACAAACATCTAGAGTATGGCATATGATAGTAATCAGAGAGCTGAATTTGCTAATAGTTGCAAAATATTTAGGTCACAAATGCAGTAAAGCATGAGGCATGACTCATGAAGAAGACTTGCAAACCTCTATCAAACTTTAAATTGAGTTATGGGGACAGTCCAATATGATAATATGAAATGGAGAGAGTTTTCTAAAACGTAAGTGTAGAGAAAAACACTCAACATTCACAATGTTAACAAAGTATATGCTGACAATAGTTGGTGTGAGCTTTTAGCCATAAGCCATTTTCCAGAATGGGAGACAAAAAATCCGAAACGAAGAAAACTGCTTTAATAATTTTTTTAGCAATTCCTAACATTTGAATTGCACGGATTAAAATAAAAGGGAGGGAGAGAAAGTCTCCAATTTCTGAGCTCTAAAAAAAAGAATTATGTATTTTGAGTAACCTCAATGAAACTTCCATTAATTTTTTTTTTCATTTTAAAGGATGGTAGCATACTAGAATGTAAATAATAATAATAATTGAAACTGAAAATGGTAAACTTACATTTGAAATTGGGACAGAAAAAACGTAAATGAAAGAGGAAAAAGGAATCAGCCTCCCACCATTTAGCTAGAGAGAAAAAATAAAATGCTGTACATGGATAAGTACACTAGCACACTACACAAAGACGGCGCTTACACTGCAAGATGAAGATGATAGCTAGCAGTTCAGGTCTCACCTCAATCTTTTCCTTCCAAACAAAATGGCAGTCATGGTTAGCATGCTAAGAAGTATGATCCATATAATCTTCTATGGAGCAGAAAATATTGGAGCATGTAGCAGAGACCAAAGCCATGCACTACATGCTATATCATGATTATGGGGCCATTTTTTAAAAACTAATTATAGCAAATACAAAATAAAGAACAACAAAAGACACATTTGATTTGCTGCAAAATATGCAACGGAATAATACACCAAAGTCGTGCACCAAGTAACCATACCTGGTTCCATACTACAAACATACAAGATGTAAATGCAATATGCTAAAGTTACAACTATAACAACAACAGAAATGGTGACTGGTTCACTAGGCAGCCTTCACCTTATCCTCACCAACCACGTTGAGTATCGGAAGACTGCTTAGGAACTCATCAAGACCTTCAAAAAATCCAATCCCCTCGATGTTATCATCCACTCCCCTTCCTGCTCCATGCCCACGACCACCCATCCCATACTGATGATCTTCACCATCATTACTGAACTCCACATTCAGGTCCAGTTTCCCATAGTCTCTGGCGATTCTCCCAAATTGTCTCCTTGCATTGCCCACAACACCTTTCTTAGTTGCCTCAGTTGTGACACGGCCACCACCTTGAACTTGCAAACCATCTAGTGACTTTTTACCACATGTAGTAGTATTACCATTGCCATTCTTCCCATTTTCTGCCTGATGTTTTTGGACTCTTCTACTAGGAGGGGTCATTGCATTTACCCCCTTTTCATTCACATTTTTTGATTTCTTCCTCCTCCTACCATCATGCCAATCTTCATTTGATACCCCACCTGAGTCTACGGGCTCGTCATTTTCACCACACCCGCCACCACCGCCAAGGTGGCCGCCACCATCATCCATTCTTGGAGCTACATTCTTTTGGCCAGCACTACCACCTTTTGGTGCCCCAACACTATGAAAACCACCTGAAGAGTTTCCACCTTTCTGGCCCACAGCAGTATAATTTGCAGTTTTCCCACCACTAACCCCATTCTTCCCTCCATCTATAGGACAAGTAAACATAGGTGAGAAAGGACTCCAGCTCGTAGCTCGATTCCTATTTCTCTCCCAATCTGCCACAGAGAACCCCAAGGGGATAAAACCCCAACAGCAAAAGTAAGCATCTTTCCCGTCAATGATGGGAGGAGGTGAAGAGGTTGCTATGGCCTGATATGCCATCCTGCAATTGCGACACCGCAGTGTACAGTCTACATATACATCAGGGTACTCAAACATATGATAGCAGTATGGGCATGCAGTCCAAAAGCTAGGAATGTCAATTTTAGGCTCATCGACTTTCATTTCTTTCTCCTTGTTTGCTTCATCATCAATAGAACTACCAAAGATATTGTCATTAGTGTTTCCTACAAACCCCTCATATTGTGGCTGCGTGTTCCTGTGATGGTCAGGAGGGGGGTCTTGCACAGAAGCCGCACGTAGTTGCTCTCCTCGATCTGGGCTTGACCCAAAGGAAATCATATGCGGCTCTCTAGTGGAGCTCGGAATATAGGTCTCCGGCAGCTGTGGGTCTCTGTTCAGGGAGGGGATCGGAGTAACTTGTTGCTGTTGGTCTCGATTGAGAAACATTCCCGGTTGCTGTCCTCTGCTCGAACTTGACTGCTGCTGTTGCTGCTGCATAGAGGTCAGAAATGATTGCCCGGCGCTCATAGGCTGTTGTTCGCGGCTAGCAAATAGCATCTGCTGCTGCTGTTGCTCCCTGCCCGAGTTGGGGAAAACATTAAACGCGCTGGGCTGTGAAGCAGCAGGAGGAGGAGGAGGAGCCGGTTCCTGATTCAGGGTCAGAAAGAAGCCGATCTCTTCGTCATACAGGCTCTTCCTGAAGCGGTTCGAGAGCAACGACCAAGCCTCGACGACGAGGCGCAAAGCTTGATCGGCGAGGGGGAAGTTGTTCTTGTTGGGACTGAGCAGGAGGGCGAGGCGGTGGTACTGATTGGCGATGAAGTCGCCGTCGTGGCGCTGGTTGGGAGGGACTTGGAGGATGCCGTACCAGTCGCAGTGCTGGTTGTTAATCCGCTTCTCGCCGGCGAGCAGGGTGTCGGCTATGGCGATGATTTGCTCGGCCTGCAACAGGGTCGGGTCACAGTCTCGGGCCCGGGTCGCGAAGGATCTGGACCCTAACAGATCGCGCGTGTTCAGCAACTTCTCTGCAATCGAGAACCATCTGATCGCCTCCGCCCGATTCGAGTTGGCGTTGATGAAGAATGGGTGTTCCATTTCTCTCCGCCCCCAATTTTTCCTTTCTTTTTTTTCCCCCTTTTTTTGGATTCAATCGGAAAAGTCGCTCTGCTTTTTCATTGGATTCGAACTGGAGGGTGGAGTGGTGAATCTCAGGCGGAGCCGCGGAGGAGGAGGAGTGGAGCAGCAGCTGCTTGGTGAAATGACGAAAAAGGACAGCGAGTTTCGGCTAAAAGACGGGAAGAGATGCATTGGGATTTGGGGGGGGGGGGTCGGACAAGTAGGGATATTAACGGTATATCCTCTTCACTCTTCTTCTTCTTGAGTGAGTCTTGAATTAGTCCGTATACACTAGAAAAGGTATATGGTACAACCGGCTGTACCTAGAAATAGATACATCCAAGTAGTACTCATTTTGGAATAAAATAGTAACTATTCTTCCACAAATAGAACTGTTTATTTTGAAATAGCGTGATACTCATTTTGAAATAACGTAATACTCATTCTGAAATAATGTAGTACTTATTTTCACACATTTATTTCATACAATTATAATATTCATCTACGATTAACATAGTGTTCATTCTGAAACAAAATAGTACCCATTCTCAAATGAAGTAGTGTTCAATCTCAATTAAAGTACCGCTCATTACACCTAGTCTAAACTCAATTTGTCACCCTTCTTCATCTTCCTCACCCAAAACCTAAACTATTCCCGACTAAATGTTGTAGCCACTTTTCCAGTAAACCCCACCAATAAGTTCCATCTCGTATACAAAATAATACAATTACCTTCCACATTATCACATCATCATCACCTTCTCCACCATCATCTTCATCATCACCTTCGCCGAGCTGCTCCAACTCTGTACTGCTTTCCTTTTCCGATCAGAGGGGCTAGAGTTTGATTCGATCGCGCGCTGCTTTTAATCTCTAATTTTCGCCGGCTGTACGATTTTTTCCATACAGCCGGCTGTACGATATAATTTGCGTATACAGTACAGAGTTTCGGTTTTAAACCAAACTTTAGACTCCTAAACCAGAACCGAAACCGAAAACCATAATCGAAATCGTTATTGCGATGAAGATTTTCTATTTTGGATGTGGGAATAAGAGCTAGAAGTTGACCCGTTTGGAACTAAAATCGATTATTTATTTTTTTAATTAATTTTCAATTTGTTTAGATTGATTCATAATATTTACATATAACAAAAAAGAAACCAAAATCCTTCAAGAACCAACTGAAATCTCTCTCAATTGGTGTCGTTCACGGTTCTGCCCAACAAGACACTGTAAACCAATGACTCTAGAATCAGACCGAACCCAGAAAAAAATTATACTCCGTAGTTGATATAGTATTATTTACTACCTCCGTCCCAAAGTATTTGTTCACTTTCATTTTTATACACCATCCAATACACTTCTTTAATCCATTTTATTTTGTAATTTGTATATTAAAAAATTATTTATATATTAATAATCTACAGAGTATATGTTAAGACAAATCAAACAAGACTATATTTAGGATTACACATTGAAAGAATTTGATGAGTCAAAGTGCTTAGATGAACAGTTCCAAAAGTCAAAAGTGAACAAATAGAACGGAATACATTATTAGAATAATAGGAGTAAAAAAATGAGACAATGGTTTGACCTTCAATTTGCATTTCAATAATCTGCTCCCTATTTCTCCGTATTATTCAGAAAATACTCCGCAGCCCGCATTCAAAAAAAAAAAAAAGGCAAAACCCCTCCGTTACAAGTGTGCGTTCGACCGGCGGCCAGTCACCCTCACCGGCAGGATTTCTAACTGATCAGAAAAACCCAAAAGATATGACCAAGACGAAGTACTGTGGTAGCCGCAGTCCCGGAAAACACAAGTTTGCTGCCTTCGACTTCGCTGCAGATGACGAGCGTATCGAAACGGAATCGAAGATTAAACTCTCCAAATTTAAGAAGAAAAGCCCCCAAAAACACATTTCCCCCGTATCCAAACTCACTTTCCTAAATTTATGTACGCTCCTTCTTTGCCTTGTCCTTATTTCAATATAATGGCACAAGCCTTTCCAAAATTTGATGCCTTCCTGGGGAATTTCGTCAATGTTGTGTTTGCTGTTTAGCACAAGGTTGATCAGATTCATGACATGCGTTGTTTATGTTCGTGATTGTATCATATGTATGGATTTTCAAATTCGAGATGCTTTTGGTGCTCTTAGAAGTGATGAGCATTGTGTTGTTGTCTGATTGTCTGAATATGGAGTGTCGTGTTTTGAGTTTTTAGCATTATGTTTCGTAGGTAATGTGTTTTGAACAAATGATGAACAATTCATTATCCGTTTCATAGTTGCCAGAGGAGAGAAGAATATACGAAAGGAGATTGAGGATGAAGTTGTTCATATTGATCATTGTCTTGGTCGTGCGGATGAGGGGATCATCAAGTGTGATAGAGTTTCATTGTCTGGTTCTGCTCACCACAGGCCATTGGAACTCAATCAAACTGAATATCATGAGTTGGTGAGTTCTTCGAGTGAAAGTACACCCCGTTCAGCAAGAGTTCCAGGCACTGTGACTGATGACAAACATTTAAGTGCAAGTCGTTCTCTATTCCCAGCTGATGTTAGTTGGGTTATATTTTTTTTATTGTGCATTGATGCATATTCATGATGCTTTTGTGTGTGTCTTTGTGTATATACTTCTATTATTATACGATTACTCATCTTATATTTATTTGTAGAATGAGCCAGTTATTGTAGATTCAGACGATGACTCTGTGACCGAGTCGAGATCTTCAAAATCTACTTCCATAACACAATGCTTGGGTTGGTTTTTCTCATAGAATCAATCATTCAAAGCTTACTTTCTTAGTTGCTTATGTAACTAATGCTTTTTATTTTTTTTAAATCCATAGGTGGTGTCGCTGCAGGTTTGCTAGAAGAACAACCATCTAAGTTTACGTCCCATGCACATGTTACTGTAAACTCTATACTCAATAATTTCATTTTTTGGCAAAATATAACTTATAATAAATATACAAGGTGGCTCTCATAAGGTTTGCTATAAAAGTTACTAGGTTCAGTGTAGGTCTGGACACATAGATTATTATTATATACTCCATATATTATATCTGTTTATCACGTATTTCCTCTTTCTGTAAGGCACAATTTTAATATGATTTACAGGAAGCTTTGGTGGTTGTTCACACTGATCATATTATATACGGGAGTTTTTGTTCCGAAGAATCTTGCATGGAATTTTCTCCAAAATGCATTCAACTCGAGGCTTTATCCAAGTTTGGGACAACAAGGACTCGCACATTTAAGTGGATGGTTTCTGATATTGTCTGCATTGAGTCTATTTGGTGTGATGTTGTGAGTTTCAGCGGGCTTTCTTTCGTGCACATCTTCATATTCTCACTTCCTGTAGGGAATGAGTGTGTATTTAAATAAGTTCGAATTTCTTTTTCTGTTTAGATGAAAACAGCTCGTCTGGATTTTCATTTGAAGTACGAGACTCAGAGAACATCAGGTTTGTAATGGTATAACAATCCTTTCATTGATCATGCTTAAACATGTGAAGATTTTAAAGGTGTTTTTTCTTTCCTACCTGGCAAGAAGAATATTCCTTGTATTTGCAACATTTCATATTGAACTGAGGATGACACCATCATTTTTGTGTTAAAGTATTGTTTGAGTTGTTTCTACTTCTAGTTGAGGAAAATTGTTTTAATGCTTGTTAGTAAGTCTAGTACTTTAAAAGGCTTTATATAAATACCACAAAGTAATTACATGTTGCTAAACAGTGAAGATGAAATGAAAAGAGAGAACATAATTCCCATGATTTTCATATTTGTTTACCTGAAATCCTTGGTATTTATAGATGTTCGGGTGTTGACAATTGCTGTTCACAATCCTAATTGGTCCATCATACAAGAAGCAATTCAATCACTGGACATCATCTATACGGTTAAGTGGAGAACTGTTCGGTGAGTTGGGTTTAAATGTTTTACAAATATATAATGGCCCTGTTCTCCATGGCATTATTCATTTATACTTCATACTCTACACTCTAGACTTAAGACTCTAGATTTAAGACGTAAGACTCGAACTCCACACTCTAGCTTTAAGGCTTTAGGCTCTAGATTCCAGATTTTAGACTCTAGAGTTTTATGAATTCTACATACTGTATGACTCCAATCTCTAGACTGAGGAGTCTAGACTCTAATTTTAAGACTCTAGAATCCAGACTAGTAAAAATAAGTCTCAAAGAATGAGACCTATATTGTCGGGTGAGTTTATTTCACTGCAGTCTTAATATTTCATATTCTAAAAATTTGCATTTTCAAAATCTAAATGGCAGTCCTCCTAAGCAACTATATCAATCTCAAGAGATCCATTTTTTCTCTTTATCCATTTGATAAATGGTGGATCGTATGTTCTTTGCAATTTAAGCATTATGCATCTACTTTATCAAAACTCATAAACATACCGAAAGTCTCAAGCCACTAATTGCTCACTGAAGTTAAATCCATGTGACCAAACTCGTAGAAACAGTAGTATATCGTATAACGTGAATGCTCTTATAGAGAGACAAAGTCCCAACTCTGGTTCGCCTGACTCAATATACACCCTGTCTTTTCCAAAAAAGGAAGTTGCATTTTTAAGGGAATAGGTTATCATTTGATAGTATAGCTATCAAGGGATATAGTATTAATTTTCACTAAAAACCGGGGGGGGGGGGTGCTGGATGATAGATAATTTGATAACTGAAATTAAAAGTTGAAAAAGCAGACCCCATTTTCTTTATCCAAAACTTCCTGGAAAATTATTTATTGGCACTGATCTACTAGCTGTTTCCAACTTCCTGTATCAATATTCAAATTTCAAAATAATAAGGGCGTGGTGTTTGAAGTTTGCCAATGTCTTGAATAGTGTGGGAATTGAAAAAATTCAATAGCCACTATTTAATCTGGACTGATAATCATTGGAAGTTGGGAACCCATTCTATCCTCTATTCTATTGTTCTTGAAAACATGTTACATAGAAAAAGAATAAATAAAAACATGTACTTTCAATGTTATATCATCCTTGAGCAATTTCTCATGTCGCTTGGATATTATTTACATGCAGTTCAGAAGAACCCTTTCATGAAATTCTTTATCCTAAAGGTGATCCTGCTGCTATTTCCATTAGTAAGAGGGATGTTGATCTGCTTCAACCAGAGACATTCATCAATGATACTATTATTGATTTTTACATCACGTATGTGCATGCTTGGCACTGGAATTGTATTTTGGTTCATGCTATTTTCTTGAATTGCTCTGACATTGTCAAATAAAGAATATTTCAATATATACAAAACAATTGGCAGGTATCTCATGAATAATATCCATTCAGAGAAGAGGCACATGTTCCATTTCTTTAATTGCTTTTTCTTTCAAAAGCTTATTGGTCTGGATAAAGATCCATCTCAAGCTTGTGAAGGAAAGGCAGCCTTTCAGCGCATTCGCAGATGGACAATGAAAGTTGATATTTTTAGAAAAGATTACATTTTTGTTCCAATAAACTTCAGGTAGGAGAGCAGTTCATACTTACCATTAAAATATTTTAGCCTTCGTCTTTTTTGTAATTCTTAACCCTCTATAGTAAGATGTTTTTTCTTCTGCAGTCTTCACTGGAGTTTGATTGTCATCTGTCATCCTGGCGAAGTGGCTAGCTATCGAGGTCTGATTGCTACTTATATTTTCACTTTTATCAATTTTGCATAAGATTATATCTCCAATAACAGAAACTCTGAAGCAGATGATGAAATGAAGAAGATATCCCGGGCCCCATGCATTTTGCACATGGATTCTCTTAGAGGAAGCCATAAGGGTCTCAATAATCTCTTTCAAAGGTGAGCAGTCTTTTAAATCATCAACTGTTATGTAGTTATTATGAATAGTTCTGATACAATACTTTCACTAGTCACCACAACTTCTAAAGGAAAACACATCAATGGTTCATCGATGTTTTGCTTCAATCTTGATGAATATTTGTAATTGTTAGCTTGTAGAAGTGGTGCAGGAATATATTAGCAAAAACATCAGAAATAAGTCTGGAGGAAACTAATACAATCCAGTAGATAGGGCTTAGGGGAAGAATAAGATAAATAGTAGTAACATTCTTCATTGTAATGTGGGCAGCTACTTGTGCGAGGAATGGAAAGAGAGGCACGGAGAGCTAGCTGAAGATGTATGCAGGAAGTTCTTGAATCTTCAATTTGTTCATCTCGAGGTAGCATCACTTTTCCATTTGGCCATTTTACTCATATTTTACAACTAAAAACACGTAAGGGAAAAAAGTACTCTTGAGAATGTTAAGGCACCCTCTAAAATGACTAAATCTTCATTCATGAGGACAATGCCATAGAATTAGCAAGTTTTTCCCTTATTGAACTTATCTTTATTGACTATTCTATATATGTTTGGTGGTGATAATATATATCTAGTTGCAGAGCACAATATGAAACACATGCTCTTTCCTTATTGTTGGGAAAAAAGTTGATATCAACTTTTTTGTATATTTGGGTTCACTTTAGAAAAGACATAAAAAGTCAGTTTTTTATTACACCTTTTTAAAGTTATATATGAAGTATATATTTATATAATTATATTTCTTAGTTTTTTTGCAATACAAATATATAAAAACAATTAGTTTGAACAAGTATCTAAAACAAATTCCTTTCAAATTTCTCATTTATTTTCCTCCCTATTTTCTTTTCCTTGCGTGATGTAGGTTCCAAATTGACCCTAAGTGTGCAGCATGTCTTTTTAGTGTAGCTACTGAATTTCTTTTGAACTTGTTTCAGCTGCCACAGCAGGAGAACTCATTTGATTGCGGTCTTTTTTTGCTACACTATGTTGAACTTTTTATGGAGCAGGCTCCGGTCAACTTCAGCCCTTTTAGACTTCCACCCAGATTTGTGAGTTACCTTTTGGAATCTTTCGACTTGAGCCTCCTCTAGAGGGATTTCTGTGTGAAGTTGTCATGTATCATTTGTTGATTCCTTTTTTACATTCCTAGCTTCGTTCTACAGCAGCATCTTATATAAGTTGTCTAGTATGCATCTAGCCGAGGTTTGACTGTCCAATCACTGAATCTAAGAATTAAATGTTGATTGTTGTTTCATTGCTGCTACTATTTCTATTAATCGAGCCTTGATGCTTTGCTAGAACATTTAGTTTTGTGTGTGTGTGTGTGTGTGTGTGTGTGTGGCAATTAAAAGTCTCATAAGCATTTATATACACTCTTTCAGCTTTGCCAGGACTGGTTCAAGCCTAGAGACGTGTCTCAAAAACGTGACCATATCAAGAAGTTGATTTATGAAATTCTAAAACAGAGTGGGGAATATGGCTCAACCGATTATTACAAGTATTCTTCTAGTGGAATAGATAAGGAACACACAGGTGTAGAATTCATGGAGGAATTATGCATGTCTACGACTGAAAAAGGCCAAACCAGTGACTTGTGCCACACGGTTGATCCTGAAGGTCAAATCATGTCCCCACCACAACGGCATCTTAAGAGCAGTAAATCTGCAGTATCAGATTTCGTTTTTGGTCCATGTTTTACTCCAAAAGCTGCCAACTTTGCGGACTATCATATGCATCCTGGAGTGGAGAAGCTGACCAGTCACAGTGGTAAAATGATGTCACCAATAGAGGTAATTGATCTACTCACCAATCATTATGCTTACCTTCTTTTTCCTAATTACACATTAAAGTATGAGCTAACACAAGAGCTTATTGCTATTTGCTAGCAATGCCGCATTTGTTCCCCCTTACCCTGTTATTGAAAGGAAAAATATAGTGTATTCCAGGTTAAGACCTTGTGATCATTGTACTAAAAATATCTTCCTAGCACAATCCCCACCTAGGTGTCAAGCTATTCTATGTTCTCTGTGTGTGGTGAGGATCCAATTCAAAGAAATTCACACTTACACTTGTTGGTTCAAGGAATTAGGAAGGAAAAGAAAACAGCTTCGCTCCTTTTTCTCACCAAAATGGAAGGAATAATGTTTTCCCTCTTCTTAGTTTATTTTTTTTCTCATTTTCTTTTCTTTGTGTTAAAGATCTAACACATAAGTTGAAACATTGTTACTAATTCAAACTTTGCATACAAATGTGTATATGGTCTTTGAATTTTTTGCAATAATTCATGATATATTACCGAGGGTGGGGGGTAGATAATACTTTATGCCTCACTTAGTTCCACTTAGAAGTGTTAGAGCCTGCTCAACCCCGTCAGACTGGGCACGTAGTAAAGTGTGGCCAGTGCCTTCTTGAACATTGTTAGTGATATTATCAGTCTCCTTGTGGTGTAAAACAGGAAGAAGAAAACATGGAGGAAGGATTTATGGACTTCACACCAGCAGTAGATGAGAGGCACCCACAGACTGAACTTCCTCCATTGATGTGCCCTGTAAATGACAGCGACGAACTTCCATTCGAACAACCAAAGAGCAGTGGGTCGTCAATATCACCACAGAATTCTCCTGGAGAATCAGAAGTCAAGTCATCCTCATCATTTCCCTGTGAGAAATCTGTGGAGTGGATAGTTCTAGATTCTCAGGAAGAGAATAACAGCTGCGATGATGAAGAAGACAACACACCAGCACACTCTTCCCCCCAAAGAACAGCAAACACCTTCGTCTTGTGCAACCTAGACGAAGACTCCACCGAGAACGGATCAAACCATATTCACCCATCATTCATTCAAAAAGAAGCTGAAACGGGTATCGAAATAATTGACATTTCCAGTGCTGACATTGAGAGTGTTGGGTTGGTTGTTGAAGACTCCGAGGACGAGGAGGATATCATTGAAAGAAGCAAACGTAGACAGAGGAAAACGCATACTATGAGACGGCTCATAGTAGACATATCAGAAGATTTGTGTATATAGATATGCATATCATGGTTGTGTATGGGAAATTTGAGGCTACTTTCTGAAATGATCTTTTTGGGTGTATATATAAGTTAGATATAAGGAGTATATAATGCTGATGTTCTTCAAACATACTACTACGTATATTGCTATAGAATCATATGCCAAAGTGACTATTTACTCTTCTAATTGCTCTATTAACTAATGATTTCTCATAAGAGCCTTCTTTGGGACGAAAGTAATATCATTAATAACAGTTAAGACCACAAGTATTTTTACCTAAGTCTCTTCGTTAATTATGATTTTAATTTGGTACTCCATTCATATTTAACTGCCCGGTTCGCTTTTTGAAATTAAAGTTTGACTAACAATATCTCTTAAAATATATTAGCAAAAAATATTAATAATAATACATTTAAAGTATTTTTATACCAATAATTTGGTATAATTTTTATATTGTACGGAGTAATTCATTGTACTCCGTATAATTTTATACTCCCTCCATCCCTAAAAATTCCTCTCCTTTCTTTTTTCATCCGTCCCAAAAAACACTTCTCATTTCTATTAAAAAGTCACTTTTACCCTTATTTTTTCATACCACATTTATCACATCATACCTTTTTACTAATAATCTATCCATCAAATCATACTTTTACTCATCACATTAAAGGACATTTTTGGAAATTCAATACCAAAATACACTCTCCTTAAATTCCTCTTCAAAATCAAAACTCCCATGTTTTCCAAGACGGGGGGAGTGTATAATTAGTCAGACATTTGACACACAAAGCGAAACAGATAGTTAAATAGAAATGGAGGGAGTAATTAGTCTACTGGTCTTAATTCATTATTCTAGATTCGATCTAACTAATTTATACTATTAACAGATATGTAAAAAATCGAAATGAACTACTACCTCCGTCCTAAAAAGATTTACACATTTTGACTAAAGTTGAAATTAAAGGAAGGATAATTTATGTTGACTTTCCAAAAATACCCTTGATGTGATGTGTAAAAGTATGATGTGATGTGTAGATTATTAGGAAAAAAGTATGATGTGATAGGTAGAGTTTGAAAAAGTAAGGGGTAAAAGTGATTTTTTAATAGAAATGAGTAGGAGATTGTGAGACGTAATTTTTTTGAAAGGTGCAAATCTTTTTGGAACGGAGGGAGTATTGTTTAAAAATGGATGTAGTACTTTGCTGGAGAATTAAATTTAACTTATTTCTTCTTGTTTCTTATCTTTGTTTTTTTCGCTCTTTTGACCATACAGAATGTTAAAAGAATGTGACGATTAGTATTTCGGGCTCTCACTAATTTTTGTTTGTGTACTTGTTTTCAATGATCATTTGATAAAATAAAATATTTTTATCGCATCTTATTTTATATTAGTAGAATTTTTGATGTATTTTTGAATGATGTAATTTATACTCCGTACTTTTTATTTCTTTATCCATTATAAATAAAAAAGCCACAGGTTGTTCGAAATGTAAATAATTTGGGGATCATATTTTTTTTCCTCTATTTCAAAAGGACGAGTAGTTTCCCTCCCACGCTCCCCAATAGAGTATTCAAATTCTTCTTGCTCGAAAGAGAAAGGCGAGTTTCAGAAAATTGGCTTCTCCCCTAACCTTCGCCATTTCTCCGTAAGCTTGTAATAATCTCTTTATGTTAATCTCTGATTCACACACACGCAGTGAGATGATGATGATGCTGCTGTTTATCTCTGTGAAAAAAATTCTGAAATGCTTTTTAATCTATTGCAAATATATGTCTTAGGGTTAGTAATGGAGCTCTCTGTTTCATGTGAACTCCATTTCTCGATTTTCTTCTGTTTTGCTAAATGTTGTTCTGGTGGAACCCTAGGAGTCATCTGATTACGGTCTCTGTGAAATGATTTCTGGAGTTGTGAGAGTGATTCATACTCATTGTTTTGTCCCGTATGAGTAATCTGTTTAATCGAATTTCTATTGACATTTTCAATAATCCTTTGCTCTTACCTCTGATTTGATTCTGAGGCGGAGATGGATCTTTGAAATAAAAAAATTAAAACAAGCAGTCCATTTTTGTTCAGAGAAAGGGAGATTAGATCTATACTCTGTAGTAGTACGGGTTACTTAAATGTGGCCATTAACTTTTGCACATTATCTTCATGCACCAGCACATTTTATGCTTTGTGTAACAAAGAGAGGGAATGGAGAAGATCTGTGAAGAGCTGGACGAGGTCAAGGTGGAGATAGAGAAGCTTAGAGAAGAATGTCGAGCCAAAACCGAGCTCTGTGGAAGCCTGAGGAAGGGTCAAGATGATCTAGCAGCAAAGCTTCAAGAAGCTAGGTTGGAGATTGAAAGACTGGCTGAGGAAATGTGTGTAAAGTCGAAGGAGATCTTCGAGGTTAGACAGATTTATGAGGGAATAAAGTCCAAATTGCAGGAAAAGGAATCATTTCTCCAGAATCTTAATTCTGCTCATCAAAAGATGAGAGATGATTACTGTGAGAAAATTTTGGAGTTGGAGGGGGAGAATAAAAAACTAGTGCTCGCTTTAGATGAAGCAATGGCTAAAATTCATGAGTTGGAGAAAAAGACTTGTGCCAGTGACAAGGAAATCAACGCGCTCAAGGAATCTTTATCGGTTAGAAAGGTCAAGAGTGTTGAAGCTCAGCTGAATCTTCAGGCATCAAGAGAGCTCATGGAGGCAAATGAGATCATCCACAAGCTCGAGGAAGACAATAGGATCTCACAAGAGCAGCTGAAGTGGAAGAATGAGCAGTTCACGCATCTCGAAGATGCTCACAGAAGTCTTCGCGATGATTTCCAGGCAAGTGAGGCTGAATGGGGAAAGGAAAAATCTGAACTTCTCGAAGAGATTTCTTCATTGCAGACGAGCTTGGCTTCCCACATTAGAATCTCACAGGATCTTAAGACTCAGTTGAGGATGTGCAACCAAGCTTTAGCTCATGAGGAAAGCAGAAGAAAGGTTCTTGAAGTGGAAGTGTCTGACCTCAGATCTCAATGTGATGGCATCTTGTTAGAGCACCAAGAAACAAAAGCGCAGCTTGAAAATCTGACACTCAAGAGAGATGACGAAATTGGAGAACTTCGGAACTTACTAAGAACAAAAGAAATTCTATTCAAGGAAATGAAGTGCAGAACTTCACTGCTAGAGCAAGAGAATCTGGATTTACATGCATCTATTAAGGAACTTCAACACACACAATTCAGTGACGCTGCTGCAAGATCTTCCACTAAAAAACTGCAAACCAGATTGAAATCTCTGGAAAAGTTGCACAATGAGTGCTCTCTACAATACAAGCAAAAGGAAGCTAAGTTCAGCTCTGACATTGAAAAACTGACGGAAGATATGAAAGAATGTGTGTCTGAGTTGAATGTTAAAAAAACACGAATTGAGAACTTAGAGAAGGACCTAGTGGACTGCCATTGTTCAATGTATGTTCAAAATGAATATGTTTCCATATTACTCCTTGTCTTAAAGTCAGAGTTTCATTATGCGGCCACTGGCAAGCATCTCTCATCAACTGGAATGGCCGAATCAGAGCTCCACAGCACGGAGAAAGACAAGAAAGTTATCCTCCTTAAAGAGCAGTTGAAATCGATGGAAACTGCACACTTTGCAGTTTGTGATGATCTGGAAGAAAAAAGTGAAGAAACAATGGTCCTCAAGGCAGAAGTCCAAAAGTTAAAAGAAACAATGGAAGAATCATCTAAGTACAAGCTTTGGTTCAATGAACAAATGCAGCAAACTAAAATTGCTCTCCAGGAAAAAGAACGTGCCTGTGAAGCTTTAGAAAAAGCTACCTTTGATTTGGCCAAAAGAACGAGTGAACTCAGGGAAAGAGAACTTGAAGCAGAGAAGTGGAAGTCTGTGGCAGAGTTTCTGAAAACAGACCTTGAAAATAACAAACTAGCCAGTGAAAAGGAGAGTAAGAGGCTTCTCGGCATTCTAAAAGAACAAGATTCCAAGGCAAGTGATATGCAAAAGAAGATTTCTGAATTGGAGTCTACGGCAAAATCAAGAGCAGATGCAGTGGAAAAATTAAAGAAAGGAAATGACCAGTTAAAGCAAGACTTGGCCAATAGTGAACTGAAAAGTGAGAATGCAAAATCAGATGCTCTTTTGGCTTTTGAGAAAGAAAAGCAGAGGCTTCTGCTGATTCTGGAAGTGAGAGATGAACAAATACACAATCTCACGGAACAGGCAAAAGGTCTGAAGAAAAATTTAGCAGTTGCAGAAACTGTCATCACACAAAAAGATGAATTCATTAATGAAACTTTGCAGAAGGCTGAAAGTTCAAAAACTACTGAGATTGAATCAAAAAACAAGGTAATCGCTGAACTGGAAGCGAAGGTTAGCTCTCTGCTTCAGGTGCTTGAAAGTCAAGAAAAATCGTTGTTGAATTTGAAAGAGAAGGACGAAGAGCTTGAGGCTATGTTGGAAGGCAGCAAGATGGAACTAGAAGGACTGAAAAGTCAATTCAGTTTGGAGCGGATGAAGTTGGAGCTTAAAAATGAGGAACTGGAGTCCGAAAAAACTGATTTAGTGAATCAAATTATGAACCAGTCACATAATTTGGAAGGTTTCTTACTCCAAATGGATGGAATGTACACAAGGTTTGGCGAGTCTTTGGAAGACGTTGAACTCCAAGAAAAACTGCAGAAAATGTTGAAGCAATGTGAGGATGAAGATGGGGTTGAAACGGATGATATACGTGCAGGTGATAACCATACCAGCAGAGCTGTAAAATCGACATTCTTACCCACTCAGAAATGGCATGGACAGCGCTCCGATGAAAGGATCCCTCTGAAGGAGCGGAACTATTAGTGTGTGCCTTTTGTTTCTTTCCGTGTTTGAGCTATGAGCATTTGTTTTCCATTGTAATGAGAAAAATCTTATGACTTTTACTAATGCAGGTTTCTACTAGTTCTTATGGTATAGAGATTTCATTCTTGTGAGAAAATTCATATGGAACATGACTTTTCTTATAGCAGGTTCCTACCAGTTCTTAACAATAAGCTCTTTTTTTGTTTAAACAGATATTTGCAGTCTGGCACGAACAATACATGCCATTCGTGATTATGTGGTTTTTTACATATTTTTTTTGTACAAACCACTACCATATTTGATTGAAAAAGCCAACTCAAAAGTTAACTTTTTACTTTTATGGTAAATTTGTTAAGAAAACGGAGTACATTTTTACTATTTTTGCATACTTCATTGATATCAATCACAGCTATTTTTTTGAGTCATTCAACAACGGTAGCCTTACCAAACGCTTCGTATGGCATTACGAATGCATACAACAAAAGAACGAACAGTTAAGTGATAAAATTACAAAAGCAACAACCATATATTAGTGACAAATTATTATGAACAAAAGAATGTTTGCATCTTCCATAAATCATTACGGTTAAATATGTTTTTAGTCCCTGTAAAGTAGGCGACTTTTGTTTTTCACCACCCATGGAAAGGCAGTGCAAATATTCGAAGAATGCATTCAAAACCCTAAAACCTTACATCCATGTCTGCAACTAACTTAAAATGGTATCAACACTGCTTGAATTGTATTTTTCTTTACACCAAAACTCAGCTCTGAGTTACTCCAAATCTCTATGGTGTAAGCTAACCTTCATTGTTTTTCGACGAACTAGGTTTTTGTGGAAACTTAGCCCATCTCTGTTTGTTTTTTTCTAATGGCGTGAGATTCTGCATGAACTTTGAGAGTCCTTCCTTCGAAGCGGCTATGTTTACTCCGTTGCTCACCAACATGCTTGTCACTCCCATTTTGGAGACCTATCAATAAACATTGGGCTTGTTTGGTGAGTTTTGAAGAGTTTGATATAATATAAGTTCTAAAAACGGGAAGAAACGATATGAGTTTTAGCCGGCGACACCGGCAGCAGGTGACCAGCAGTGGTGGTGACAGCAGGTGGCTGCTGGCAGGGGGTGGCCTGCAATGGCAAGTGGCCAGCAGAGGGGTGGCTTTTGGCGGGAGCAGCCGGCGACATTTGGTGGCCGGCAGGTGTAGGTAGCCGATGGTTGAGGGAGATGTCAAAATTCTAGAGTGATATCTCTCAAATTCTGGAGATACCAAAGCACCCTCATTTCGGAGGATTGTGATATAAACAGCAACAACAACAACAACAACCCAGTTGAATCCCACTACAGTAGGGTCTGGAGAGGGTGTGTGTACGCATACCTTGTGATATAAGAAGATATCAATTCCGAACCCTATTTAGGCTTCACCAAACACCCAAAAAAGATTTTGATATAGGAACCCATATGTCCTGTGCTACCAAACGGCCCTATATTATAGAGAAAGAGAGAGAGAGAGAGAGAACAAAGGAGTGACGGAATAGCAGAAAAAACATTCTTACAGCCTCTATGTTCGTACTATCGTCATCAAAAAACAGCATTTCGTTATACGGCACGCTTGTTCTTTGTTGGATTTTTTGAAAATGTTCTGTCTTGTGAGACGAACTGCAAAACACCTCCTGGAAGTGAATAAAATGTAAAATAACTAATCATTAAAGACAAGGGATAGAGTTATGATCATTGATATGCATTAGCAACAACCCACTAGGATCACACAAAAGTAGGGTCTGGGTAAAGTGTGTGTATGTAGACCTTACCCCTACTCTCTAAAGTAGAGAGACTATTTCCAAGAGACCCCAGCTCAGGTAGAAGGAAAGCAAATATCATGCAAGAAAAACAAATAGCAATTAATGTCAAGGAAAGTGCAGAGAGACAAAAGACAAACAACTACTGCAAAAAGGTCCTGATTCAAGGGACTACCCAACTATCCTAGTCCTAGATCTCCAGATGCTCTTACCTAAGGTCATATCCTTGGTATGGGCTAGAAGTCCTAAGTCAAGCTTAAAAACTTCCTTCCAACACTTCCTCGGTTTACCCCTCCTTCTGCCCCCACCCACTATCGTAAGTCTCTCGCATCTTCGCACCGGGGCCTCAACACTACGCTACTTCACGTGACCAAACAATCTCAACCTGACCTCTCGCAACATATACTCCACCCTACCCGTCTCCTGATAACCTCATTCTTCGCACTTGTCACCTCTAGCTTTGCCCTTACGCAATCTTATGCTCCACTCTTAAAGATGCCCTATCCTCAACCTTTTATAAGTCACCTTCTTAGCCTCCAACTTACTACGAACCACATATTAGTGTGAATTAAAAAAGATTAGCAGCTTTGACCAAGCATATTAAACAAAACCTCACCTGTGCTACAAACATTGAGTTGATTTCAAGCTTTTCGAGGAAAGTGTTGGCTATCTTTGGAGTGGATGATTTTGAGGCAATAGCAACATTAACTCCCTTTTCCTTTAGAGCACATAAAATGCCTTTAGCTTCAGGATACAATTTAGGCATTCCACGTTTGAAGCCACACTCGCTGAAAGTTTATGAGTGAATCATATATTTAAAAATGGCCAAGACAGCATAAAACAAACAAACAAACAACCCTAATAGAATCCCACAAAGTAAGGCCGAATTGAGGGTGTGGGTACAAAGACCTTGCCCCTACTTGAAAGTAAAGAGCTGTTTTCAAGAGGCCCTCAGCACAAAAAAACATAAGTAAAGTAAGGTAAACATAGTAACACAAACAAGGTAATGGCACAGCCTCAAAGAGCATGCAAATTAGGACCAAAACACAAAGAACACACATGTACAAGCTCCCCGCTAACCCTATGTTTGGTTCAAGGAAATTTAGAAAGAAAGAAAAAGAAAAAGATTTCCCACTTTTTCCTGTCCAAAACGAAGGACTCCATTTTTCTTTCTTCATGGCCTATTTTGTCTTGTTTTCTTTTCCCTCCACATTTTTTCTTCTTTTTCCTCTCTAACCAAACATGAAAAATAGCTTTCCACCTCTTTTTTTCTTTACCTTGAACCAAACATGGTGCAAGAGAAAATTTATATAATCAAACATACAAAAAAAATTGCAGATTCCATAGGTTGTGTATATAGTATATACATACCAGTAACAGGGCCAGAGAGTGTAGTCGAGATCAAAGACGACCAAACGGGGAAGAGAATCGAACGATCCAAGAATCTGCAGCGCCTCCTTCTTCACCCCCTTGTCTCCCATCTTCAACCTCCAAACCTCTCTCTGTTTTCTAACTGATTGTCTCGGGGAAAGAGGGAGAGGGGTTGAAGAAGACATGATTTTTGGGCCAGAGCATTAGATTGGCTTGTTGGGCTTCATAATCCGGCTAGGTCCAAATTTAGGCCGCTTCCACAAGCCCAGTCCATGTGATGTTTATAAAATTCAATAAGGCAATATACCCACATGATGACATGAGAGTGTTTGGTATTGATAGTATTGTGTTTGGATATTATTTTTGAGTTTATTCATTTAAGAAGATATTTGGTTGTGTTTTTGCAATTTGCTTCTGCTTATACATTATCGAATAATATAATTTTTGCTTTCTAGGAATCAACCACACCCTCTTCATGTCCTTTTTGTTTTGTACAAACAATAATATTTTATTTGGTTACGCTAACTTAAGGCTGATTGGTGTAGGTAATGTGTTGTGTCGTGATGGTTGATGTAGCTGGCCAGCTCAACGCGTGATGGGGGAGGGAACACCGCCCCTGCCCCATGACTGTGATGGTGGTGATCTCATCACGGTCAACACGCTTCATTTCCTTTTTTTCTCTTGCTTTTTTTGCTCCGTCAATGTCGTATTCTCTCTTGTTCATTGCTGCTATCAGCCTTCTTCATTTTTTTTAGAACCTCTTTTTATTTTTAGTTTTTTATGTTTTTTAATCTTTTTTTATTTGTACCTTTTTTAATTGGTAATTTCTTTCCTTAGATTTTTTTAATGTCAGCTCTGCCTAATTTATATCTTGTCAATGTAATTTTAATGCTAATAGTAATAAGTTATACCATTAATGTTTTTCAAAGTAAACTTGGATTTAAATAAATGAAAAAAATTGGGCGTGATCCACACTCATTTCCAGTGATTGGTTGTGATGAGAAAGAGAAAAACTGAAGTGGCGCTGAGTAACGTTGAACGGGATGGCGTGATGAGGATATAAAGTGCTACTTTGTTTTATGGTAATTTCGTTGAGAAAATACAGAGTATATTTTCAGTATTTTTGCACACTTCATAAATATTAAACAATCACAGCCTGAGTTTTTAAAAAAAGTCATTCAACAATGGCAACCGTAAAAAAAACAAAAGAACGAACCATTTAGTGATTAAAAAAACACAAAAGCAACAATCATATTAGTGACAAATCATCATTAATACAAGAATGTTTGCATCTTCCATAAATTCAGACTATCATCAAATACATTATGGTATCATCACCCATGGAAAGGCCGTGCAAATATTCGAAGAACATATTCAAAACCCTAAAACCTTACACCCATGTTTGTAACGTAACTTAACAGAACCAATGTATCAACACGGCTTGAATTGTACTCCGTATCTTTCTTTACGCCAGAACTCGGCCCTGAATTACTCCAAATCTATGTGGTGTAAGCTACGCTTCATTGTTCTTCGCCGCCACTTTGTGATGAACTAGGTTTTTGTGGAAACTTAGCCCATCTCTCTTTGTTTTTTTCTAATGACGCGAGATTCTGCAAGAACTTTGAGAGTCCCTCCTTCAAAGCTGCTATGTTTACTCCGTTGCTCACCAATATGCTTGTCACTCCCATTTTAGAGACCTATAAATAAACATTGGGCCCATTTGGTGAGTTTTTAAGAGTTTGATATAATATGAGTTCTAAAAACTGGAAGAAATTGATATCGGAAAATATCAATTGTGAACCCTATTTAGGCTTCACCAAACAACCACAAAAAATTCCAATATAAGAAGAAATCAGAACCCATATCTTATGCGCTCATGAAATGGGCCCTATATTTTAACAAAAAAGAACAAAAGAGTGATGGGAATAGCAGAAAAAATGTTCTTACAGCCTCTATGTTCCTATTTTCGTCATCAAAAAACAGCATTTCGTTATATGGCACCCTTGTTCTTTGCTGGATTCTTTGAAAATGTTCTGTCTTGTGAGACCAACTGGAAAACACCTCCTGGAGGTGAATACAATGTTGTCAAATAACCAATCATTAAAGGCAACAACGGATAGAGCTATGATCATTGATATGATACTGTTAATTAAAAAAGATTAGTAGATGAGACCTAAGTTGTCCAAAAAGAAAAAAGAGAATCAAAATCACACCTGTGCTACAAACATTGATTTGATTTGGAGCTTTTCGAGGAAAATGTTGGCTATATCTGGAGTGGGTGATCTTGAGGCAATAGCAACATCAACTCCCTTTTCCTTTAGAGCATATAAAATACCTTTAGCTTGAGGATATAATTTAGGCATTTCACGTTTGGAGCGACACTCACTGAAATTTAAGCATAGATCAGAACGAACTCTCCTCAATTGATGAATGAATCATGTATTTAAAAATGACTGAGACAACAAACAAACAAACTGATAGAGTGCCACAAATGCAGTTAGGGTCATTTGTTTAACGGGTCAAAAATATTACTTTATATATGTTAGTTACTACTACGTAATTCTAGAAGGTAGTAGGCCTAACTTCTAGGAATAGTAACTATCTAATGGAGTAGTGGACCTAAATTCTAAGAATTGGTAGTTATTTGGCTTCTATATATATATATATATATATATATATATATATATATATATATATATATATATATATATATATATATATATATATATATATATATATATAGAGGCTAATTATTTGTAAAAGTTATCCAGAAAGTAATTCAATATTTATTATTGGAGATTCTCCTTTGCTTTATTACATATATGAGTTTAAGATTCTTACTCATATTTTGATAAAGATTTTTCTTTTATTATTTTATGAAGTTAGATGTTGATTTCATAATTCAATAAAAAAGTTCCTTCATTTCGTTTTCCTGGCCAATCCTGAGTTCTATCACAAACAAACAAACAAACCTAATAGAATCCCGCAAAAGTAGGGCCTAGGGAGGGTGTGCGTACAAAGACCTTACCCCTACTTCGAAGTAAAGAGCTGTTTTCAAGAGACCCCAGACACAAAAACCATAGATAGATTAAAGTATGTCAAAGTAAATGCATTAACACGAACAAGGTGAGAGAACAACTTCAAGAAGCATGCATAATGACTGGAAAATAGGCCCAAAACACAGAGAACACGCATGTACAAGCTACAGACTATGAGGAAATATATGGTTTTCATCTTATCTACCTGATTTTCTACCATCATTAGAGTCTTAGTCACCGACATACTCCCTTGTCCCAAATTAAGTTGTATGTTTACTATTCACATGGTCAAACTTCATTCATTTACTTTCTTTGTTTTTGTTACTCATTTGATAAAATAATATAGTCATGTCACCTTTTGTATCATAGAGCTTTTGATGTAGTTTTTTAATATGTAAAGTTTATTTTTTTAATTCCGCTCCAATTCTCTAATAAATTGCATTGAAAATAACTTCAGCCAAACATGTAAAGCGAAACAAACGATATAAATTGGGGCAGAGAGAGTAAAAGCCACTTATATTCTAATTTTTCAAACATACATTTTAAGTATATTTTTTTAATAGTCTAACCCACATGTCCTATTCAGACCCTTCAGCCACTAACATGAACAAATTCAACTTACGTCTAAATGTTTGCCACAGGTGCCTGAACCATCATGCTAAATCAATAAAATCACAACAAACGAGGGGTAAAAGGTGGAGATGCAATAGGGTTGTAAATGACCACAATGTTTAGCCAACAGCTCATGTTTGAGCTCGTTCATGTCAGTTTGGTTGATTAAATAAACACAAATGAGAATTGTTTTAGTAGGTCATGCATTCAAAGAAATGAGTTTGAACCATGGGAAGTTTGTTTGATTAAAGCTCGTGAATAGCTTGACCGGCTTTCGTTAATCGAGTTCATAAACAAACTCAGCTAAAGCTCGCATAAGGAAAATTATAAACAAGTACGATTAGTGATTATGTACACAACGAACAGCCCAATAACAAAATGCAGTACAATACCAACCCTCGTTGGAGTCTGAGGGTCAAAATTCACACACTACTTACACTCTTACCCGTGTAGTAAATAGAGATGCCTTTCAGCTAAACCCTTGATGCATTGCTTCATTTAGTACCCAAAACCTCAGCGGTTGTAAAAAGCAAAGAAACTTATTGGTCATTTCATTTTAATCCATTATTTTTGGGAAGCTAAAACATCTTCAGTTAAGAATCTATTAGCTTCATAAGTGATAATGTTTAAATTTATATACTTGTACTTAACTGTTAAGTGTCATTTGTGGAAGTGATTTTTTGTTGTTTCAATTGTGTGAAAATTCGTATCTATTGGTTCATGAGTTTTTAGTCTACTTATTAATCTATTGTGTTCCCAAACAAGCTTTCCAAATTCAAACAATCCTGTTAGCGAACAGTAAACAAATGAATATGAACACACGAAATCTAAACTACTTTGGGCTTGTCTATTCTACAATCCCAAACAGAGCTCAACTCGACAACTCGGCTCGTACCAGTTCAATTACAACCCTAGATGCCCAAGCATCCCATAGCATATCAAAGCTCCCATCTTTCTTATTTTAACCTTAAGGAGGCATCAGGCATTGTATGATCCAGTATCCACTAATCCACAGTCCATTAAACAGTAAGAGAATCGCACAAGAATTTCAGTCCAATATACGGATTATATAATAAAACATACAAAAAAATAAAGCAAACTTCATAGGGAGCGTATAGTATGTGTATACATACATACCAGTAGAAGGGCCAGAGAGTGTAGTCGAGATCAAAGACGACCAAACGGGGAAGAGGATCGAACGATCCCAGTATCTGCAGCGCCTCATTCTTCACCCCATCGTCTCCCATCTTCAACCTCCAAACCTCTCTGTGATCCTCAACGTTTGGACGCAACAGATCTAAATGATTGTGTGGCTGAAGGAGGGAGGGATGGAAGGACAGATACTGGGATCGAACGATCCCAGTATCTGCTTTTTGCTTTCACTCCGTACTTATAATTTTTACAGTATATCTTCAACTTTGGATGCTTAACGAATTTCTTCAGGCAAGAAAATGTTGCTTAAATTTTTTTTTTTATTTTTCATTATCGTGGTAACATGTCTTCCGTAAGAGCATCTCCATCCAATCATGTCATTTAGACTTGCTAAAAGCTAAAATATAGCAAATCACTCCCTTTTTCTTAAGGTGTGCTATATTTTAACATGCTTATCAAAAATTGTATTTGGCTTGCTAAATCTAGCAAGTCAATCAAATTATAGCAAGCCCTTCCTCCACTTTAAAATTAAGCATCTCCGTACGATGGAGCATCTATGTCTCTCCTTCAACCTTTCTCCTCTTAAACTTAAAATGTAGCAAGTTATGATTGAAGATTGAGACAAAAAATAATTTTCTATATTACTATTCACTTGTTAAAATACAACAATAGAAAGCCTATATAACAAATATGGTTGGAGATGCTCTAAGCACCCGTATGGCTGTATCTTATTTTAAAAAAAATAGTTTGTAAAGTTGTATTTGATTGGGGGTAAAATATTTTCTTTGAAGAATATTTTTCAAAGGAAAATAATTTCAAAAAAAATTATTCGTCAATCATATAATCCATTGTTTGGTAGGAAAATATTTTCCTTCCACTAATGTCACCAAACACATGAAAATAAATTTAAAATTTTCCTGAAAAATATTTTACGGCCAACCAAACACACCTTAAGTATTTAAATATTTTTCAAATACACCCTTAATCCCTAAAACAAAAATGCAATTTAACGTTTTCCATCTAAATGTATACGGAGTAATAAACTTTAATAATCAATAATATACGAGTATAAAATACATTAAATTTTAATGTCATCTGATTCATTTTTAAACGTAAGTATATTAAATGTTTATAATTTGATCAAGTATATAACAATTGATACTAGTGGCAACAGCTTTAATGGGTGGAAAAAGAAAACTCCACTGGCCACAACAAAAATAATGATGCCCACCAGTACATGAGCAACTTCTATGGGGACTCTTCTGGGAATCAAAGCCCACACCAGTGTAAGACTCGAAATGACACCAAAGCACACACCAGTTGGACACGGCCAAAACGATTTATGCTTCAAATTATTTTGACCAACAGTTCCTATACAAATAATGCTTTTATGATTGATGGATGGATCGATGGATGAATGGAAACTATATATTGTGTATTATAGTGACCAAAAAAACATTTGCTTATCGGGGTGCAAAAAAATCATAGACCATACATCATTCGAATTAAAGAATAATCATCTCCAACACCACACCACATCCAACTCACTTGCAAGCCCGCGGGAGAGAACTGAAATCCAAATTAGAGCCGTGTTCTTCGTGCCCCTACCCATCGATTGCTGGATAGAGCCCAAACGAAGAATTGCGTCCCCCGCCGTTGGAATCTCCACTGGAATAGGGTGTGGGTGGCTGAAGCTCCCCGGAATGAGAAGATTTGCGGGACCCTCTGGGGTTCTTTGGTGAAGCAGTGTATGAATCCACTGCTGAACCAAAACCACTGGCGTACATGGAGGATGAGGGTAGTCCGTGGATCTTGGGCAACCCTGTTGCGTCTGAACTCACACTATACCCTCTCTCCACTGAATCTGCTTCAAGTGGCAGTTCATCCAGTGTCTGCATCCAAACATTAAACATTTCAATAGTGGGCAACGAGATCTTAGACTAATTAAGACTTAAGAGTAATATATACTAGGTGATAATGATTGAAAGATTGAAAAATGACCTTGAATGCTTGCTGAAGTACACGAAGTGTATCTCTGGTACGCTTCCTTTTCGTAGCTATCTCATCTGGTTCTTGCAGCATCTCTTCAATAAGATTCTCTCTGCACAAACAGTTTGGGGGTGGGGGGGAGATAAGTAATAACCAAGCCATGCATATATCATATTAATAGTCATTATTCGTACAACTGAATTCTAGTTTTTAATGGAGTATGTTTGGCTCTTTGAACATTCAACTTCCACGCCTGGAACATCAAAAATCCTTCCCATTGCAACCATTTTAGAAACTATGTTTCCAACCAATTCTAATTCTTGGCATTTTGAACTGGAAGTGAAACTTATTCATAAGGATCAAGACATGAAAGTTAAAGTCAAAGGACCAAAAATGGATATAGACAGTTATCAAAAGACCAAAAGTAGAATTTATTCTACTCAATGAGATACAACCGTGGTACAACTCTAGAAGAGCAATATAGCATTACAACACATAAAGCTCAATATAGAGGGCTGTTAGTCGGCAAAAGATCATAGTAGGTATTCAGTCTGCAAAAAAGTTTAGTGCACCAAACCCTCCTTCTAAAGCAATTAATGAATATTTATGCACTTAACCTTTGAATACCTGTAAAGTTTTTTTATGAGCACATTGTGTAGTTCTCGTTTGGTGTGATTTACCTGGGAAAATAATTAAAAACATTAAATCCAGAAAACGATACTAAACTAAAAAATTTGGCAGAACTGGAAATAAACTTATACTCGTATTATACTGCTAGAGAAGTGCTATCTAACTCAAATAGGACCCAGAAATAAAAAAAAGTACATAAATTGCAAGCATCATTTAAAAGCTCCAAATAGAAAGATGTAGTGATGCCATTATTACCAGGAAGTACATGATTGCTTTAGGAACATAATCCTCAATGTTCTTTCTAACAATGTCATAATATGATCTCAGCAACAGTTTTATGATAGTTATCTCCATTGCCTCCTGATCTGTGTGGTTTTCTGAGGGCCTCAAGACATTTGGCGGCTTAAAAAAAAGAATTAGGTTAGTAAGAAGATCATGTAACAACTAAAATCTGAATTTTTGGCGAGCGTTTGTGTGAGGTAGTTACTTAGTGTGTGTACCTCTCTCAACTGAATCATAGAATAAGCATGTTCCATGCTCTGGACAGGATCATTAAAAGTCTTGCTCGTTGAATTTTCCTTAACAGAGGTACGATGATCAGACCCACCAAATATAGATGATATTCCCCAGCTTGTAGTGGCTCCTGATAAAAAACAGTGTCAGACGAGAGCTCTGAAACAAATAACTACCCATCTAGTTGAGATATCAGTGTGGAAATAATCTTTAATAATAAGCTAAATGGTTATGCAGCATCTAGCAACACTTCAGTAACTGCAATTAGTACTTGGCAAGATATGGTAACTATAACTACCTCCGTCCAAAATAATCATATTCAACCAATGTACAACTCTTAAACTTTGGCAAGGTATAACTGCCATAAATCAAGAAACATTCTAATATCTTTAAATTTTATGGTTGGTTTAACAAAACTAATTGTGTGTAAAACTTGTTTATGTCACTTCTGTGGCAACTTTTGACATATTACAAGGAAAAAAGCTTTATCTAAACAACCTGGTTATTTTTTGGGAAAAATAGTTTGAAACATGACTCCTTTTTTGGGACAGGAACTACTTCAAAATCATGTATTCCAAGAAAAAATTTTACCAGGTGTGGTTTTTTCAACATCTGGAGCAGTCCGGACACCCTGTTTAATGCAAACAAGCAGGAACGTCGCAGTTAGTGAGTTATATTATACCCATGCACAGCGGAAAGAGATATATTCGATTAGAAGCAACTTTATTTGCGAGCCACAAATCAAAGTAAAATCTGTGTCCATCTTAAACAGCTCACAGTCACAAATGGCTATCAAGGAAACCAAGCACTTGCAAAGCTGGTTTTAGGGTATGAGTATATTACCCCTTCCGTCCCAATAAAGAACTTGCCATTGCGGTTTACTGCCTGGCTTAAGTTATTTTTTATAAAATTTATTTCAATATTGGTGTAAAATTTAAAAAATGAAATTTATACATTTAAAAGCTAGATCAAAAGTTTTACAAAACAAGAGATGACTTGACTATAATATTTTAACAAATGATCAATGAAAACATGTAAGGCAAGAAGATATGAGTTGACCTTGTGAATACTATACACAAAAATCCTTTTGGGACAGATGAAGTATTGTTTTTGTTGCTATTGGGGGTGGGAGTGTGGAGTGAAACTTGCCTGCTCTGGTACAATTCCATTCACCGGTCTAGCTATGATAGCCCGAGACTTTAGACTTCTTTCAGATGCTGGTGCTTTATCTGCATCCACTCCATCCTGACAAAAAAATGACACAACATGACTTCATTTTGAAGATCATGGAAGCTTAAAACTAGGAATAGGCAATAATGGTATGGAAATGAATCCAATCAGAAATTTACTTTCTGCCTCTGAATGGGTGGAGAAATCCTGGAGGACTTGATCTGTTGGGACGCAATCTCTACAGCTTTGCTCCCGCCAATGAAATTGTGATGAGAAGTATTTATGTAATCCATCTACAAGATAGTCAAGCTGAGCAATAATTCCGATATGGAAGAACTTAAACAGCATAAAGGCAATTAATTGCAGAACCAAAACCCCATGAGGTGACTTTTCAGGAATAAAAATTGAACTAAATATATAACTTTTGCCTTCAGATCAAGAGTGCTGTTATTTGTGAAATATATGACAACTTGACATGTTGATGAAAATAAACTGCAGCTGGTGCAATAATGTATCTAACAAACAACCCTAGCCATTTAGATTTTATAATCAATTTAACCGCTAGCAGAAGCAGAAAAACAAAAATATCCTAAATTGTTCCTGCAGCTGTCCATTTTTTTGTGTTATGCCTCCAAAAAGGTAGAAAATGTCAGATGTAGACATGTGGTGATCTTCTTAGCTTTCTCATCTAGGGTTTGGAAAAAATGTGTCCAACTATATACCTATGTTTTGAATGTGGCGCTTTCTAAGACTTAATCAAGAACTGATGGTATAGTGAAAATTCTACTGCAAAATAAAGCTAGTCTTCCATGAGCATGATACCGTATGCATGTAACAAGAGAAAAATAAGCTGTACCTCCATTCCAATGATGTGGCTAATCATATTTTCTGATGGCACAAGGCCTTCTCGTAAAAAGTTCCCTGTGACCTCATCCATGCGCCTTCTTAGAACTGGAAACCGTTGCAGTTCATTCGCCATACACCGGTGGCTCATCTGAGGAATAATTTGGCATAAGGACAAAATACATAGCAAATCTAAATCATGTCACGATAGTAGAGTACAAATCACCTAATTTACCTTTATTAGCTCATCATATATAAACCTCACACATTGGAGGCTTGGATCCAACAAACGTTGTATTTGCCTTCTCACAAGAACTTCAAATGGGACCTTCATATAAAAACTTTAGTATGAACAGTGAACTCCAATGACATGCCAGCAAAATAAAGATCATGAAAATATAAGAGATATTGCTCTTTTTAAATTATTAAAATACATTGTGGAAGAAAATAGATATTCAGTGTGTTAATCTTAGCAAGTGCCAAGTGGACAATTACTTCGGGAACAAATAATGCTGATTTAGGACCGGTTGCATTTTGGATGGCAGTTCGAATATCTTCATCCGTTAAATCTTCACAGGGATCAACATCCTGCAAATTATGCCATAATTGATGTAAAAATCAGCTAGAAAATTTGGGTCTCCAAATCTAATACGAATATATTCCCACAATAAACTTGACACAGAGTTCTAAATATATTTATAGCCCATAATTAAATCTTTGAGGCTGTTACCCCCAAGAGAACACATTAACTAAATATTTATATCAATGAAGAGAACTCTATACATAAATTAACATTTCAAAAATTGTAATTGATTTTAAAGGCATCATAGGCTACACAACTCTTGAAAGACTCTGCCCGACTGTCCCGCACAGATCCGTGATGAACTTGCAGAAACTTATGCATTGCACACTCCATCATAGCTTCAAGGCCATGATCATTGAAAAAAATACTGAGCTAAACTAAAATTACATAAAACTTAAAAGGGGATGACATGGTTCAAAATCTGCATCTTCTTTCATAGTGAAGAAATAAGCATATACAACTATTTTTTTTATTTCTCATTATTTTGTTTCTTGAATGTCAGTGAAATGGCCTTTTATTATTCCATGTTCCTCTCTTTGTAACTTCCATTTACTTTAGGCACAGTTGGAGTCATGGATATGAGAAGTATAGGACAGAGTTTTTTCTTTATGTGCTCCACTGATGCAAAACTGGAAATCCAAAAGGTGGTAAGGTTGTTTCTCTAAATTTACTACAGGTACCTCAATACTCTTCACATATATGTTTTGAAAGATGTAATGAATCCTTGCACCACCAGAAAGCTCAGATGTTGACATCTCTTCATTTTTTCCTTCTATCATTGAACAGAAAGCTGTACAAACAAATATACCAATGAGCTTATCATAGTGAGAGAATAAAAGTAATTTTCACATTCATATGAGATTTGGAAGTTCAAAGATTTAGCCAAAATATCTATATTTATGAATTTATTTTTAGAAAGCCAAAATACCTTCAGAATACTTCGAAAGAATGTTCAGAAACAGTGCACTTTGACCAGCCTATATTTTGGGGCATATGAAACAAATAACGCATAGATAATAAGAACCAACATGAACATAGGGTAATCAAGCTGAAAAAGTAAAATATTAGATAAATGGTTATGGGAAGTCTGCCACTGCCAACAAGACCCAGAATGAAAAATGAGATCTTCCCAAAGCTAGCATGAGTTGTGCCTAACTGTATTAAACATAACACGAAAGCTACCTTAGACTCGGTAATTTCCCCAAAGCTGGCATGCTCCTTCGCAACAGAAACGAGTGCAGCACTAATGCGTGACTTCAACCCTGGAAGAAGAGTTTTGATATGTTTCACTAGAATCTGCAAAAAAAATGGCAGACAGAATATACCTTAAATTTATGTTCCTGTGCATACTATATAAGGAAACGCACTGGAAGAATGGTAGATGACAATAAAAAATATGATAGCATCCACAATACAAGGAACAAAACAAAATAGGGTAAATCAACAAATGCTTTTTATTGAATTCTAAGAAAATTCAGGTTTCAAAGCTGTGGAAAGAAAATTACAGATGGTTGAACTATGTTTTGAGTAGTACTTCCTCCATTATATTATAAATGCAACATTCAGCTGGGCAATTTGATTATGCAAACATTAAACCATTAATGTCTTTAATTATAGGAAAATTTACCCAAAATAATCCCAATTTTACCCGGTCTTTCAAAAATAATCCCACCTTTCACTGTGATGCATAATAATCCCAACTTTACTAAAATTTGTCAGTTTTGGGTCACCGTTAAGTTTCTAACGGAGGGTTAACGAAAATGCCCGTTTTATGTAACAAAATGAAAGTTGGGATTATTTTTGATGAATTTTCATTTTTTTAATTTTTTTTAAACTTTTCATTTAAATTTTTTAAATTACTTTCTATCTCCATCATCATTTCTTTTTCCTTTTTTAAAGATTAGTCTTAGTTTAAAAAATAAAAATAATAGATATAAAAAATGAAAAAATGAGAAATGTAACAAAAATGATACAAAAATAATAAAATAAATAAGGTAACCAATGGAAACTAACTTGAAATTGGTAAAAGTAAAATAAAAATATACAGGTGGGTTTTAATATTTTACGCATTATACAAAGTATTAACATATCACATCTTATTTTTTAGAAAAAATTATCTACAATAATTCCAACTTTACGGGACGGCTTGTTCTTTTAAAAAATAAGTAGTACATTAAGACTCCGTATAGTATGTAAAATGTTAAAACCCCACCACTCCGTATATATTTATTTTATTTCTTACCAGTTTCTATTTAATTTCTATTGATTACATTATTTATTTGATTAATTTTGTATGGTTTTAGTTATTTTTCTCATTTTCATTATTTTTTATATCTATTTTTTTTCTAAGGTAAGCATAATCTTTAAAAAAGAAAAAGAAATGGAGGTTGAAAGTAATTCAAAAAATTTAAATAAAAATTTCAAAAAAAAATTAAAAAACAAAAATTCATCAAAAATAATCCCAACTTTCATTTTGTTGCCTAAAACGGGCATTTCCGTTAACCCTCCGTTAGAAACTTAACGGCGACCCAAAACTGACAAATTTCAATAAAGTTGGGATTATTATGCATCACAGTGAAAGGTGGGATTATTATTGAAAGACCGGGTAAAGTTGGGATTATTTTGGATAATTTTTCCTTAATTATATTTAGTAAAAAAAAAGTTGATATTATGTAAGTTTATATCAAGACGAATCTAACAAGATCTCAAATGACTACATATTTCCTCATCAGTAAATCACAAAAGATGGTTAAATGTGAGTATGAATAGTATAAAAAGCATAATGTTGCAATATACTTCGTATTAGAGAATGAAGGAAGCATGATATATGTACATAGACATAAAACACAATTTAGTCTAAGACTGTTCACCTGGTTCAACTTCTTTGCCAACTGAGGAACGCCACAACGATCAGCAAGGTCACTATAAACCTTCATTGAAGACAATTATGAAGCGTGAGAGAGACTCATCAGAAATGTTCAAATACGGAGTAAAAAGTAACGCAATAACAATTTTCTTTCATACAGGACGACTACGGAAGAACTTCTCCTCTGCAATGAGTGCGTCACTAATGCTTCGGTTCATCAGAATATCCTGGACCACATAATCCAAACAATGTGGTTTAGATGTAAACGATAAGAAAAAATTGACATACGTTTGTTCATGACATTACCAAAAGGTCCAAACAAAACATATCCAGTATGTATGGCTCTCAAGGGGTAGGCAAAATTTACCTCTGCTCCTAGAATAGTGATGTTTCCGTAAAGACACCGGAGTAAGAGAAAATTGGGAAGTTTCGGAAGCAGTTAAAATTGAAAATATTGTTTAAAAATTTTGAAAGTTCTTGAATGTTTTGAAGTAGAAAAAAAAAATTCAATGGAGAAAGGTAGAGTCAAAGTACGATCAAAACTACCATACTCCTTATTACAGCGCCATGAGAACCCCCCCCCCCCAGGGGTTGCCCTCAAACCCTACAAGAAGTCTGCTATATAAAACCGTGGTCTCAAGGATCACCTCATTGAACTAATTTCACACAAAGCAATAGTTTGCATCAATATAATTCAAAATCTGCTTAGCACATTTCTTAATCAAAATAGAATGTAGAATTGCCAGAAGGGTGTGAAAGACTACCTCCTGACTGCGATTTACAACTCCAACGTAACCAAGTCGAAGTGGAATCACTTTTCCAAGCAAAAAATTGCGAGCATCTGTGCCTCTATCCATAATGTCCAACTGAAGCAACAAAGAAAAAGATAGATAGTGATGTTAAATTTGAAGGTTTTAGATCACAAGAGCAAAAGAGAATTTCATCAGTGTATACGACCTTCGTGATTACACCAATGGTTCGATAACCTGTCAGAGAAACCAATTAAATATCATTATCATTGAGATATTTAACATTCATTCTTTTAGTTTCTAGCACATTTTAAATATACAGATCAGTAATGTGAAAATTACTGTGTACCATCCGGGTCAGCATTTCCAGCAATCTGGAGGGCATCTGAGTTGGCTAAGTCAGCATTCGCTGGTGTAACGGCAAGTATCAGGCAGCTCGGGAGTTTAATATATGACATTATCATTGTTCTGATTCGAGCTTCAATATCAGATGGCTGATCGCCAACAGGGACCTTTGTTATGCCTGGCAAATCAACTAGAGTAATATCTAGAACATTTGGAGAGAATATTTTAAGCCGAATCTGTCTGTCTGAAACCCCTTTATTTGATCCTGCTTCTCTGTCTGTCTCTGCCTGATGAAATTAGTATGCAGCAACATTTAGAAGCAAAAATTAGGATAGAACATAAACAAAAATCTTGAAAAAATGCCCTCATAAAAAATCATACTTGCCATTTTTACAACATAAGTCATTTTTCCGCAAGCACTGAGACAATTTGTACTTCAGTATTACAAAGATTTTCCCATTTACTATTTGAGGGTCAAACTTCAGTCATTTTTTCTTTAATTTCATTACACATTTGATAAAATAAAATATTGTTGCCACCTCTTGTTTGTAGATCTTTTAATGTAGTTTTTAAATACATAAACCCTATTTTAAAATTTTACCCCATTTTCCATAAAAATTAAATTGAAAATAAACTCAGTCAAACATCGTTAAGTGTGTGGGAAATTCTTTTTGGGAAGGATGGAATATTTTGTTATGGACTCCATCGACGAAGTTCAACAACACTTCATTGCACAATCCAAATGTGTTAACAACCTTACTGTTTTAATATCAACAAGACCATCATTGAGCATGTTGCTGCTTTGACATGTTTGAACTCATTACATATGAAATATGTCAATGAGAAAGGTATATAAATCTAAAGTCTGAAGAGATAAAGTGTGAATGTGCATTAAGAATGAAGGCAGTTTACTTGACCAAACATCATCATAGTATAAAATTAGAATTGTAGGAACTCTGGAGCGTCACGTTGAATACTCCCCGCGTAGATTCAATATAACTATGGATTTTCTTTAGTTGTTGTCCATAAAATGAACTGGTAGCCTCCAAAAAACTTACATGAGAGCCAATATATACCACAAACAAATTGGAGGATTCATTTTAAATTGGGTTTAGATGAATAGGAAATAGGGGACTGTGTGTGCGTGTAATAGGGTACACCAGTCTCCCACACAATGGGAGTCTGGGAAGGGCATAATCTAAGGGAAGTCATTTCCTTTTAGCAATGAGTTGGATTTGAACCATGGACTGCCATGGGGAGAGACTCCACCAGTTGCACCAGACACGCCCATCTATTCAAAATGTATGGTGTTTTTTTATTGTTTAACGGACTATTATTTTAGATAGTTCGGAAACAAGAATACAATATGAAAGAAGAGACATAATAGCTTCATATTCCATGAGATTATTGGTCCTTTTTTTCAATACACATTTACACATAGACTGTCTTCATTGTTCACGTCTTTGGATCTCCATTAACAATCTTCTTTTACTCTTTCTTCTCTGCTGCTAACAAATTTTTTGTCATTTTCCCATTTCATCATGACCCCCCCCCCGGTTTCCCTTCACATTATCCATCCCAGTACAGCATTGATTAAACAAACTTTCAGAAACATATATTTTCGGATTAACAATAGTCTAGAGAAAAAATGAGTTCATCTAGCATCTTTTGAAGTTGTGCAAATATTGCCTCCCAAGTTTTAGACCAACTGACCTACAACAATCTAGTGTATTCAAATGATACAAGGGGGCTTTTAATACAACATCTATACAGGAATCTTCAAAAACATGCTTAGTTCAAATTTACAGATTACGAATTGAGCTGTAATACTTAACTCTCCAATAAAAACATTACCTGAATTTCCCTCCGAATCTCATTGAAATCATAGAACTTCTTCCCAGGGAGGTGAAGGAACTCTCCCCACTCATCATTTCCCTCCGGCTTCCGCTTGGTCTGGAGCAGCTGAAGCACGAGGGGGCGGCGAGTACAGATGTCGGAGCCTCGGGGCAAGAAGTCACGACCGACGAGGGCTTCGAGGACGCTGGATTTGCCACTGCTTTGGCTGCCTACGACGGCCACCTGTGGCAGCTCAATGGTGGACTGGCTGCCAAGCTGAGCGAAAATGTCTTGCAATTTGTTCACGATCGGAATCACTGAGTGCCCCAACGGCGCCGCACTCGACGCCGGCGTTGATGAATTCAGAGAAACGGCCTCTTCTTCCATGGAGACTCTTCTGGATGGATTGAGAAGAGATCGCAGAAATTTAAACCCTAGAGAAGGTAGAAAATAGCTTTAGGACAGAGAAAGAGAGTGCCAGAGTAGTTTGGTTCCGGGCGTGTTTGTGTTTGTTCTTTCCTGCCGCCCAAGAATCGGGATGGGGATGCCAATGGAATTGAAATTTGTTTAAGGCTTTCCTATGTAAATAAAAAAAATAGAGTATATAGTACGCTCTAATGATTCTAGTCTCTAATATCTAAAAATAAACAAATTGGTTTATGTATATAAAATTAAAGCAATTAACTTCTTGTATTATTTGATTAATTTTCCTCTTACTTGTATTTCCATCATCTTCAATGAGCCAAAATTTATTATTTTTTGGCTTTGGAGTGTGATGGAATAAAACAAAATGAATCTCAAAACTGTCTTCGTTTCTTTAATTAATAAAGTAGCACTGAGTCTAGAGGTGGCAATCGGATCAACCGGATCGGTTTCGGGTTGGATTTTTTCGGTTCGGATATCTTTCGGTTATATGTTATAATCGGTTCGGTTCGGTTCGGATCGGTTAAATTTCGGTTCGGATTTGATTTCGGTTCTATACATTTTTCGGTTCGGTTCGGTTTCGAGTCGGTTCAGATACGGTTCAGTTATAAATCGGTTCGGATAGATTCCGGTTCGGATACAATTTGAGTCGGATATATTTCGGTTTCGGGTCTAGTTCGGTTCGGATATATTTCGGTTTCGGATCAAATATATTTTGGATATATACTATTTTCTAATTTTCCCCTTTTGACTTTTTAGTCATATTTTACAAAGTTGGACTACAAAGTATGAAAACATATATATTTAATTATGATATAAATTTAATATAATTAAATTGATTTTAAAATTTAGTTTTGAAATATAAAAATTTTCTCACATCTACTAATATACTTATGTATATAAATGAAAGGATAAAAGATAAATTCAAATAGTCTTATGTTCCATTTGAATAGAATTTGGTAAAAATTGAGTAAAATTGGGTGAAATTAAGTGAATTTTATTCAATTGAGTGCAAAATTTGTAAATTGTTGAGTATATTTGGTTGAAAATAGAGAAAATTAAATTTAATA